CTTTTGGATTCTATCCTGCATTTTAAATGTTATTGTCGAATGTGTAGTGATACTTTGTGTTCATTCATTTTTAAAACTGGAACTCTAAAAACCAGGTGCAAGCATTTTGTGCAGGGGCAGAACTTTTTGATTGGTGGGCAGCATCATACTGCAATGAGACCCAATACAAGGATTTGTAGCCCTTATCATTCGGACTGGACAGTTTTCCCAGAGAGATATCTATAATCATATTTTCCGGCGGACTGGAGGAATGGTGGAAATGATCCTGAGTGCATTCATAATTTCTTAGGAGCCAAGTGGGGGAAGTGAATTAGGACTTTTATCATTTAGAATGCAAAATCTCGCTGAATCACTCCGTTTTCAGTCAAATGGTTCATCCATCTCTTCAGCTGTCCTCATGTCCCTAAGCCCAGAATCACAGTAGCCCATCCTCTCTAGCAGTAAACTCTTGCCTTAGTGGGTGTGGGAAAAATGCAATCTTGTGATTGCGCAGGCTGGAGGAAGGGATCTGGGGTCCAACAATGAATCTTACAGTCTTTCAACCACCTGTTTGCCATCTGGCCTTCAGAAATAACTGGTGCCTCCAATGACTCATCATTTCAACAGTTCTTTGACCTCAGTCAGACTGCTACTCTTTGATATCCTTCTCTGTCACACAAGGTATTATGTTTGAGGTTCTTGTTGAAGGTTTCCTATATTACCCAGCCTTCAAAGTGTGTTGACACTTTCATGCATTCTGGTCTCTTATCATTGTGTGGGTCTTTCTATGTTTATGCCACTTATATTGATTTATCATTTTTTGAGATAAATGTGTAATATTACCTAGAAATATAGATTAGTAATATAGAACAGTAATTTTTGTTCCCTTAACTGATTATAATTTACCCAACTTTCCCAGAAGTACTTGAAAACATTGAATTTTCTTATTGCCTTGTTTTTATATTTTTACACTTTATCTTTAAAGGATTTGAGATTTTCTAATAGACACTTGTCTATTATCACACAAGTACTTGCAGAAGTGCATAAACTGATTACAACGATGTGTCATCTCTGACTGAACTGAAAGCCATTCAAGGAAATATTCTCCAAACTTCGACATGCTTTTCTTCAAATCTAAGTATTGTTGAGAGAAGGAAATATAAGAAAAAGATAACAAATACATATAGTCTATAAAAATATATGTAGCAAGTTTGTTATGAAATTTTGTTAATATGGCCATCAATACAACCAAGTAACAGTTATAAAATAGCAATATTATTTAGAATTCAGTGAAAAATGTGACATTTGGAGTCAGTTACCAATTTCAAACAGTCTGGTTCTGTTGTTGCCTCCTAAAAAAAGACTGTCTGTGATTCTCTCTTTCTGTTCTTTTTTTTCCTCTTAATTGCCATTTTTTCCTAGACCAGCTGTAGCATCTATGTCCTGACTTTGATCCAACTACTTACTTTAACCCATAGAGAAAACGTCTCCCATAGACTCTTGCATATATCACTGCAATGTCTCCATTCTTGACAAGCTTGCTGTTTTAACACAATAGAATGCAAGGAGAGCTGCATAAAGTAAAGCTTTCACAAACTGGGGAAGAGAAAATTAAGATCTCTGTTTACTAAATACTGGCACAAAAATGCAGTTCTTTTCACCTAAAGTAATATTGTAAATATATATGATTGGAATTTCAAGAGAGACCTATGAACTCATTGTGAGTTTGTCTTCTGTAAAGAGTCATGCTTTAAAGTATTATTCTTATTTGATCTATGACAGTGAATTCATTCTCAACGTTGGTTCTGGGTGGGGCACTGGAAGAGGGTTTTTGAGGGCCTTTAAAAACAAAGGAGGGTGCAGTGTGATAGTAAACTTAACATAACCAGTGGTGACCTCAAGGTAAAAATGGATAGCATTTAGACTTGTTATAACTGTGCATTTCTCATTAATTACCTGCTTATTAGAGACTAACTATATGTTCAATACAGTGGTAAGTTCTGAGGGGCATACCAAAACAAAATAAAAGAAAGAAAAAAAACAAAAAATCCCCACACAAAATATTAACCAAGTTATACTAAGGTAGGGAGAAAAGACATATACAAATATAATGTAAGATATAAGATTCCTTTCAAAATTTATCATAAGAAAATTACAGATAAATTATTTTTGACACACGGAGACAGAAGCGATTGTTTCCATCATAATTTGGGTGGAAAGCATTACATACATGATTTTGTTAAAATCATGACTTTTGAGGCGGGTATCTTGGATTCTTATCTAAGTAATCACAATTTATTGTTTCTTTGTGGATGTCAAATATTAACAAAAGCAGAGAGAATCTTAAAATTCTTTAGAATTATTAATATTGTCATACATTTTTCTCCTTTTCTTTCTTCCCATCCATCATTTCTTCCTGTGGTGTGGAGAATAATGACCCTCAAGAATGTTTGTATCTTAATACCCAGAAAATATGAATATTTTTCATTACATAGCAGATAATTATGATTGCAGGTGGAATTGAGATTATTAATATATTGACTTTAACAGAGAGATAATCCTGGATTATCTGGTTGTGCCCAATGTAATAACAAAAGCACTTGAAAGTAGAAGAGGGAGACAGAAGAGTAGAGTTAGAGCCTATGTGATTATGAAAAAATGTAGCAGAGCCATGCAACATTGCTGGCTTTGAAGATGAAGGAGATCAGAGCCAAGGAATATTGGCAACTTCTAGAAGCTGATAAAGGCAAGGAAATGGAATTTCCCCTAAAGCCTCCAGAAAGGAACCCTGCCAAAACCTTGAGTTTGGTCCAGTGAGACCTATCCTTACACTGTAACCTACAGAACTGTAAGATAATAAATGTGTGTTGATTTAAGCCACTCACTAAGTTTGTGGCAACTTGTTAGCATTCTTTTGGGGGGAGAGAGGCCGAGGAATTTCAAAGCCAACTCCAAACTTTGTATCATCTCATTCCCATATACTGAGTATATCTATTTAGAAATATTAATATCTTCTTATATCCAAAGTACAGTTATTATAGCTAACAGGTTGAATAAAAATTCTTTCCCCATTAAAATGTCCTCAATTCTCTCAGCAGTGTATTTTTAGTGATGCTATACTGGTGCTATAACCATACCCAGAAGTCATGGCATTGCCTTTAAAACACAATAACTTAAGATGCCTGAACAGCTGAGTGGTTGAGCATCTGCCTTTGGCTCAGGTCATGATTCTGGGGTTCAAGGACCAACTCCCACATTGGGCTCCCTGCATGGAGCCTGCTTCTCCCTCTGCCTGTGTCTCTGCCTCTCTGTGTCTCTCATGAATAAAATATTTTAAAAAAAGTAATTTAACTTACTATTCCTAGAGAGATGTAGTTGGTCTTTGAATCAAGATCCAAAGAAAGTCCACAAACTGTATTTGCTTATTATGTCTCTTTGGTCTCACTAGGAGAGAACAGTTCATCTCCCTCACTTCTCCCCTATTCATGTCCTTGATGTATTAGGAAACCCAATCAGCTGCCACGTAGAATGTCCCACATTTGCTTCTTTGTGGTGTCATTTAACTTGTTTCTCTATGGCCCATAGTTTTTATAGGCTGGAAAATAGCTCTAAAATTTTTATTGGATTTAGGTTTGTAAATCCTTAAGAATATTGCACAAGTGATACTGCCTATTTCACATGAGGGACACAGTTACTATCTATTTTTAGTGATACCAGTTTCATTCAGTGAGTTCAGATGGTGACAACCTGATGCTCCACTATGTAGTTTTTCATCAACTTTTCCCTTAATGTTTGGTCTTTGCCTGAATCAATTGCTATACTAAGAGTTGAAAATAATTATTGCCTAATACCATTATTCCTTCCTTACATATTAACTGTAATTTTCTGTAAAGAAATGTTTTTCCAAAGTGGAAGAACATACTTATAATATGCTACTCTATCTATGCTATCTATTTATCTATAATTACATTATAATACATATATACTTATATCTTATATATAGATGTTATTTATATACTTATATATAGGTATATACACCTAGTGTGTGTGTGTATATATATATAGGTAATATGCACATATACTTACCTAGACTTTATCTCTAGGCATGACCTCTATTGATATTTAAAGAAGGATAAACCAAAACATGAAAAAACACTATCACTAGTGGGAGGGAATAAAACGCAATCAGTAGGAACAGAATCTAGACTTAGTATATCTTGCTTTGTAGATTTGAAATTTAAATTATCTAAGTATTTTACACAATTTTGAATTGTTTTAAAATTTACAGAAAATATATAAAAACTGAAAAAAATTCCCAAGTACTAAACTTAACTATGAATGTGACTGGTGCTATAACCATATAGAGAAGAGTTATTACATTGCCTTCAAAACACAGTAATTTGACTTATTATTCCTAGTGAGATGTACTGTAAGGACATTAAAAAAAAGAGTGTCAAAAAATTTAAACTGCTTTAATCATATTGTTCATAATATGTTGGTATTAGTTCTAAAACTATATGTACATATGATAATCATAGTATATATTATGTAAAACCAGTCATTAATATTAGAATCAAGATTTTCTGCATAAGAGATGAAAATAAAAAATTAAGTTAAACAAAAATCCTGCTGTCCTAAATTGAATTTAAAATATGAATGTGAAATACATAATTTCTTTAAAATATGTATTTCCTAACTCTGCCAACTGAAAATCCTGGAAACTATGATTAACTCAATTATAATGAGCACTCTTACTGTTAAGATTATGGTTTCTAAATATCATTTTCTCCCAAGAGGAACTGGATATTCTTAGAGAAATAAGTGATGTCAAGACTGAGGTAGGAAATATATGAAGTGAGCCTGCATCTTCTCGCATGAAAAGCAATAAAAATATCAAGAAATAGTAAGGTAATATCAAAAGGACTCAGGAGCAATATTAATGAGTCAGAAATTAGAAGACTAGGGAATTAATAAAAATAATAATTAGTATAAACCAAAACACATCATAAATGCTTAAACTATTAGTTCATAATAATCCTCTTTATTATTTTGTTCTTTGAAAACATGCCTTGCTGAGATTAAAATATTACTAAAGGACAGAAAACAAATTTTATCTTTTGAAAACACATAATACAGATGCCAATGACCCACACAAGCATCAAACCCATCATCTCAGTCACAGGACACTCTAATTTGGTGATTTACAATCTTGTGCTTTGTGATATGATGCTTTCAGGGTGTTTGTAGATTTCTTTCTTAAGATGATGCAAAAATCCATTTACTTAAAAATCATGCTCTAGTAATTTGAATTTATGGGACAAAGCATAAGACAATTTGAATGTAAACTGACATAGTTTTGACCTCAAGAATAAGTAGAAAGTTACCTAGCAGAAAATCATAATGACCTTGGCAAACTGGCAGAAGCAAAAATGAATACCTTTGGAAAGATATACTTTAACCCAATTTCCAAAGAATTCCAAGAGGGTCAATAAAATGAGTGGTTTAAAGTTAAGAAGTACAGAAAAAAAGTTAACAAATACAATACACAAAAGGAAACAAGCATTATTTGTGAAAACTGGCAGAAACAAAACTGAAATTTATCATATACTGGATATAGAATATAAAAGGTTTATGGTTATTAACACTAGATGAAGGAATGCTATCTTAGATTGGGTTTCCTAGAAATAAAGCTTGAGACTGGGATATCTATTAATATGTTTTCTTTAAAAAGGTTTATTTGAGAGAGGAGGGAGGAGCAGAGGGAGAGAATCTTCAAGCAGACTCACTCTTGAGCTAGGAGCAGAGGGAGAGAATCTTCAAGCAGACTCCCTCTTGAGCTAGGAGCCCAACAGGTTGATTACACAACCCAACCCACAAGATCATGACTTGAGCTGAAGCCAAGAGTCTGAAGCAAAACCCACTGAGCCACCCAAGTGCCCCTAGATTAATATGTTGCATTGAAGGGGTGCTCATCATGAAAATCTTTGGAGAATATGGGAAGGGAAAGAGCTGAGCAAGGGTAAAACTCAGATAAAATTCTAGTCTTTGCTCCATCCACAGATTAAGGATGATTTCTGAAGCCTAAACTGCAGTATGGGTCTGTATGTCTCCTTTTTGTTTCTTCTTCTACTTGTCTGGAAGTTATACATTCATTGTTATTTTAGTGGCTATTTTAGCCCGCATACATGACAAAGGCAATCAACAGCTACTATTGACAAGGATCAAGAGAACTCTCCTTTCCTACTGGTTGGATTGGAAACTGGTACAACTTCTTTGGAGAAGAGTTTGATATTATATGGTAAAGTTAAACATGTCGTGTGTCCTGTGACCCAATATTTTCAGAGCTATATGTTGGGCAAACATTTGAACCTGTGTACCAAGACTGTTAATAGCAGCATTGTTGCAATACTAAAGATATTTAGAAAATTCAAGTGTTCATTAGTAATTGAATAAATGAATAACTCCAAAAATAAATTAATCAATTGATAACTCCAATGATATGCTAGAACACTGAGCAGCAATGAAAATGGATAAAAATCTGTGTGTAACAAACGGACGAATTTCAAAAACTTGATGTTGAGCAAAGGAAGGAGAATATATACAATCATTTCACAAAGTTCACACACAGGCAAGCTTACATATATATATTTTTATGGGTACATACATAGATGTAAAATTTCAATAAAAGTAAGAGAATGATTAACACAAAATATGATTTGACGGTTAACTCTAGATTTGGGGAGGAAGGGGAGATGCAAACAAGGAGAAAGGGAATTTCTAACACTCTTTTCCTAACCTGCATGGTGAAGACGTAGTGCTGATTATTCTTTGAATAATTTGTATACATGATTTTATATAATTTTAATGTGATTAGCATATTTTATTTTAAAAATTTTCTTAGCATATTTTAGAACTTAAACTTATAAACTAAACTGCATGTTCCCTGAGAGCTGAAACCATGTCTCTTTTGCTTATCTCTGTGAGATTCAAAATGATTTCTTCTACATGACGTTGTATATGGATGAATTTTAGGGTTTTGAGAACTTTTCCTTCCACAAAGATGAGTTTTGGCAAAAGTTGGAGGGGGAAGCTTTGCTACAGCAGTTCTGTAACCAAATAAGTAAGATAACATCTAAATAGACCAGCACTATACATGGTACACGGTGAGTACTCAATACATATCAGTAGGTGCTGGTATTGGGGTCAGTTCTTCATCTTTTGATTTAACTCTAGGGGTTGTCTAAGTTAATTTCATTCAAATTTATTCATCAGGGGCACTAATTATATTGTAGTCACTCTTTCGTGCTGCTCAAGTATATAAATGTAGACTCTTTTGCCATTTCATGAATAGTGGTTGTAGCACCAACAGCTGAAAACCAGGGAAGTCCAACAGGGCTGAGTGTAACTGTAGCTTTTCCTCCTATGGAGGGAAAGGTCCATAGACTCACCTTAGAGGTTGACAGATGAAACACTATTTGCTAATTCTCAGTTCTAAGTGTCTTGGAATGATTTGTTTTACTATTTTAGAGACAAGGTTAACATCTAAAGTTTTCTATTAGGGCAAGTCCCCATTAAAAAAAATAAGAAATTATGATAACACCAGATATAGGAACAGTGTAAAATGGATTAGGACCTAAAAGTTGGTGGAGAAATAAATTTAATGAGTTTTAATCAACATTTGTTGTAATGAGATAAAATGAATAAATAGCAGAGCACAGATAAATAATTTATGACTCTTCTGCTTTTGCTATATCTACTATTTTTAAAAAAAATCATCTATTCATTGTGAGAAGTATGCTAATATCAGTGATGGTAACATGAAAGAATGGTCAATAGCAATTGTAAGAACTATTGATTGAGAATCTTAAAATAATTCTTTCACATATTTTAAAATGATAAAAATGTATATATTAAGATCAATAAAATAAGACATAAACATATATGTATTCTAGTCTCTGATATTAGATATATTTCTTAGTGTGGACTCTGGCCAAACATTTGAAAGCTACTGCCCCAGAAAATGTATTTTCTCTTCCTTGGATTAGAGTTGGATTGAATATTGCAAAATCATACATATATCAGGCTGTGAAATTACAGTGACTATAAGAAACTCTTTGGTAAATTAAATCTAAAGCAACATTTCTAAAATTGACACAAAAAATTGCACATATATTATGAAGTTGTCAATCAAATTATAAATTAAATCAACATAAAACATTCACTGACCATGAAATGTGACAGCTAGCTAAGACTGTGTAAATAATACTTGGACCAGTGAAAACTTTGATCCACCAGCATGAAGAAATTAGACAGACATGTGGACTCCTCAGAATCACAGACTCTTGGAAAAAATACATCAGATTTTTCTGTAAAATATATAATTCATTGCCAGTTACATGTGATGGATTTTGAAAAACTTCCAATTATTAAAATTTGAAAATAATAATAAAATAACCATAGAAGCTTTCAATATCACTTGCTTCAGCTGTTCTAGAAAACACTGCTATTTGGTTTCTGCAGAGTCAAGTGTAGAAGTGAGCAGATTGATAAATTTATAAACATCATGAAAAGAGTTGTAGAGAGGAACTGGAGCCACTCGGATGCCATTCGGTTCTCGCTTGTCACACTATGGGCAGGGAGGAGGGTGGAAATAAAGCCACAATACTGTTAAAATTAATTATTCACATAATGAAAAATATACATTTAAGATAAATTTACATAAAGCAATCATACTGATTTCCCTAAAACTTAATATATAAGCCTTTTTTTGTAAACTTGTCATGGATATAATTTATCAGTGGGGAGATTGGAATGACTGGAACCCTTGGGCACGTTTAAATGAATGAGAACTTCGCTGAGATCTGGAGAGTTTTAGCCAATTATCTTTACATTTGATCCTATAATGTATAATGTAATAAGGAGTTGGCTGTATCCTTGAAATGTCATGAAATAGACCCAGATAATTTGGTCTAGCCTGAAGATCACTATGGCTAATCCTTAAGAAACATCTACTATGAGTTAGAGAGTGCAGTAAATGGTTTATGTGTAACTAGACCATTTAACTCTCATAATCACCTTTGGAGGGAAGTATTTTTGTTCCCAAAATCCATATGCAAAAGCTTACACCAAAAGACATGAACTATCTTTCCCAGGAGTTCATAGCTTACAAATGGTAGAACTTGATTTGGAACACTAATATACGGATTTGTGCCTCTGGAATCTGAGATAACTCTTCTCAGGTGTAAGAAGCAAATCCTAAATTACAGTCACTGGAAGTAGATACATGACCACCATTTTTCCTGAAATGACCTGATTAACGCTTATTTTCTTCAAGAGACTAAACAGATCACTTAGGCCCAAGGGTTAAAAAATATATATACATACACATATACATTCCATACAATGTTAACATCCCTGAGATGTGTCTACAGTTCTTTTTTGACTAAAATGACAAGGTTGAAAATGACTTGGCTCAAACAACTAATAAGACTGACTTCTTTACTTCCTCTCCATTATGTTATGTTCTTTAATTTTGTTTATTCAATAAACATACATATTTGGGCTTTCACTAGTAAAAACTAGTGAAAACATGTCCTAATTGATTTTGATGAAACATTTTTTTTTCTGCTCAAGCTGTAATGACAAGAATGAATAAATTATGAGAGCCTGGTTCCTAAATTCAAAATTTGTGGTTTCTTCTTTTTTGTCAGAAATGACAGATCTCTATGCCTTCAATTAGCACGGTGATGATTATCTAGTTGGCACTTAATCTATCCTCACTAACTGCCCCATGTGAAATAACGTGCAATTAGCCAAAGAACCCAAATTTTACTCCCAACATGCAACCCAGAGAGAAAACTAGGTAGAGCAAAGCAAGAGATATACTTACAACCACTCCTCGTTTTTCTAGTTCTTGGAATACATATTTCATTGGAACAGAAAATGTGAGTGTAAGCTGGCAGCCACGCTCCTCTATGCAGGATGGAGTAATTATGTTCACAAACGGTTTCTTGGTATCTGCTGTATCTTTGTTATAGTAATGCTTGATCAAGTATTCCAGATAGCCGGTTAGCAAAATAGATTTTCTCCTCAATGCTTTCATGGTTGCTTGCTTAAAGATCTACAGAATGGGAAACAATCAGATTAACAGTGTCTCATTGATTTACAAAGAAGCAGAAATTGACTGAAAATCATGTTAAAAAAGGAAATGCCCGATTTTGATCTTTCCAAAAACATCCCATTTTAGGTAATCCTTTGTAAAAACATGTCCTCTTTTAAATGCTTGGCTATTAGAAGCCATATGCAAAGTTTCCATACAGAAAAAAAAAAAAACAGCCTTTACAAATGTCATTTAAACAACACTTGTAAAAGAAGAAAAAAATGTTAGTATAACATTCCTTTGGAATTATTTTACATTGGCTTAGTATAATTAATATAAGTAAGGCATATCTTAACAAATGCACTTAAAGATCATGAAATGCAAAGCTTTTCCTCACAACCATTCTAATATAACCATAATCAAGAGGACTTTTCTATTCTGGTATAGTTTTTGGTCCACACAAACGTATAAGAGCTAGCTACTCGTGTAAATATAAAAGGCAGTGTTACCACGATTATTTATAATTGTTTTGCCAGTTCCTGAATCTTCCCAGTAACAATAAGCAAAGAAGCAGTTAAGTAACAAAATGAAGTTTTGTCAGACAAGGAAGCAAGTAATGTTAGATAACATATATGTTAGTCCCGGGGCAGTTAGGCTTGTGTGTGTGTGTGTGTGTGTGTGTGTGTTTCTCTCTCTCTCTCCCTCCTCCTCCCCCTCTCTCTTTAGCTTTCCTTCTTCTTTCATCATCTTTTCTCCCTGCTAAACTCTCACACTGTTGTGAAAATACTGCCATTTGCTGCCTGAGGTGTCGTATATTAAGATGAGTGACAAGTGCACACAATAACTGGTGTTGGAACATTAGAGGTCAACACAGACATGCTTTTCCAGCTTATCTCTTAAGGTCAAGTAGAGTTTAAAAATATATCCTACATATAAGAACTGAATGAACTGCAAACAGAGCATGATGCTCTGGCGTGTCACTTAATATCCCTTTTCTGTATCGCGTTATGCCACAGAGCAAAGATAGGGTCATTCAGTGACATCTAGACTTGATGAAGCTTGTTATTTCTGTATATACATGTGGCACGTGTGAACAGGCATTCTAATAGAACCCAAACCATGTGGGCAAAGATTTTGACCTATCTTGCACGGAAGCTATGGCTTTGGCTGAAGGAGATCAACAGATTGGTATTGAAGGTAAGGATACTCCAGGAAGACCAGAGGAACAGGCTAGGATGGTATCTTTCTCTCTCCTCCACCAGACATCACAGATTATGGAAGAGACTGGATGCAACTGGAGTTGGATGTCTGTTTCAGAAGGTATCTGAGATGGGCGGTACCAGCAGGTAACCCTAGTTACTCAGGTAACCCCAGGTACATTGAGTGTGATGGGAACCATCTCCTCATTGGCCTGTGTAAACTGAAATGTAAGTAGAGCTAGCGCAAGGTGGACTCAGGGGAACTCTGCCCACTTTTGGATCAAGAGATCCTGGATGGAGAATCAATTCTCACAAAGGGCAGCAAGAGGGAGAGAGCAAAGCATGGCCCCACCAGCAGTTTGGTTGTCAGAATAGGAATAAAAGGAGAGAAAATCTTTCCAATCTTCTCTTTGGAGATTAATAGTAATTCAAGGAACATTTAATCTATAAATAATTCTGAAATGTATTCTGGTTCTGCTATAAGCCCCGTGAGATACAGGTAAGAGCAATGTGTGAAGTACTCCTTCTAATGAGATTTCATTTGTATTCACAGGTTAGTAAGACTTTGGGGAATATTACTTAAGCTTACAGGTTTTTTAAAGGAGATTTCGTTCTTGCAGGTTTCTCTGATAACTAGAAACTGATTTTTTTATGACAAATAGTCTCAATTTTAACATACTCTTTGATAATAAAATAACTTTTAAATATGAATCCATTTTCCATCACTAAACCACAGAAAGGGCAGCTGCATTGTGAGGCACTCAAAATCTTGTCAGAGGGTATGAAGGTCTCTTCTGAGGACTCACATGGAAATATTAAGAGGGGATAATGGGAGTTAACGGGCGAATAGAAAAAAAAATCTTTTCTTTTTGGCTTCTCATTATTTCTATGCTTTCAATACTGAGAAAGAATATTTTTTTAAATTAGAAAAAATGAAAGCTGTTTGAAAATATTCAGCTTATAACAATTTTTGGCAGAGTTTCAACTACGTGAGTTATTTTTCTTACTGAGCAAAATGAATACAAAGCTAGAAAAGTTAGGGAAGTTTAAATGGGAAAAATAAGTATAGTACAATGTTTCGATTGTTGCATTTTTTCTCTTAAATTCTTAAAATTTGCTGCCTAATAACTTTCTGAGAAAACACATAGTACATTTCTTCCTCCTTGCCATATATTTTAATTGAATGTTCTAATTTTGTATCTTGGAGCTATTTATTTCATTATAAATTCATATACTGAAAAAGTCTAAAAATTATCTACCTATTGCTACATACAAGTATGACCCTTCAAAATACAATAGATGTATTTTTTAATTTCAAGTTAGTAGTTGGCAGATTGAGATTTTTGAAGTAATTTGGTATAAATATCTTCATTTTAAAAATGAGACAAATGAGGGATGTCTGGGTGGCTCAGTGATTGGGCGTCTGCTTTTGGAGCAGGTCATGATCCCGGGGTCCTGGGATCAAGTCCTGCATCAGGTACCCACAGGGAGCCTGCTTCTCCCTCTGCCTATGTTTCTGCCTCTCTCTGTGTCTCTCTTGTGAATAAATGAAATCTTTTAAAAAATGAGACAAGGAGGGATGCCTGGGTGGCTCAGCGGTTAAGTGTCCGCCTTTGGCCCAGGGCATGATCCTGGAGACCCAGGATCGAGTCTCACACCAGGTTCCCTGCAGGGAGCCTGCTTCTCCCTCTGCTTGTGTCTCTGCCTCTCTTTCTGTGTCTTTCATGAATAAGTAAATAAAATCTTTAAAAAATGAGACAAATGAACTTGAGTACATAAAGTGAAGAGACAGTTGTCACCTAAGGTCACACTTAGTATCCCAATGAAGGAGACAGTTTATGCCTCCTAGTTTCGAACCCTAGATTCCTTTGATCCACATTTTTTTAATAATAAAATTTGTAACATAATTGTACTATATATATATTTGTATTATATGTATTTGTGCTTGTACCATATTGTACCATGTAAATAGGTGATAAAAATTATTAAGAGCTAATGATATAAAGAAAAGGACAGTTTGAAACTGATTATAAGGTACTATTTTTCATACTATCATTCAATTGGATGCACATGTAATTACAAACATATCACTATTTTAAAAAATCATATTGTAAAACAGATACCTTATCCATGTACACTGATTCTTATGTTTAGAATCTCTCCTCCAGTTGGTATTTGACTATGTAGGACGTTTTTTGAAAGAGAAGTAGCTACAACAAGGAAAGGCACTTTGATTCATGTATCTGTTTCATTTTTATTCAAATTTCAATCACCTGACTCCTACCATGTGACAACGCAAACAGGAGAAGGAACAACATGAAGGCTGCCCTTATGCTTACTCCCATGGCTTCTGGGGAGTAGAACATTTTAATGGTTAGGTAAGGAATAAGAAGTAATAAAATGCATTATTTTGTAATTTCAGAATTTTGCAATTTATAATGAGGAGAAGAATTTCAAAAACACTTTCTTTAACACAACGTTGGATTGCATAAAGATATTTTGGCTAGAACAGACCATCAGCAGCGACTAACCCCAGTAACGTGTTTCTAAGAGGCTCAAGAGAAATACTTCAGTGATAAGATGCTCCAGGGAAGTATATATCCCACTTCTCGGGGCTTTTGGGGTCTTTTTGCTAAGTTTAAATGGTAAAGAAAAAAAATAAATCAATCCTCAGATTCCAGCTGAAAATAAGAACCTTGTCTAGGTGACTGTAATACTGTGTGATGCGGTGGTAAAAACTTCTGAGCTTTTTATTATTCAAGACTAGCCTAGAGAACTGGTGGTAGGAAAACTGAGAATGTGACTTTTTTTTCATGGCAGGAGGGTGAAATACTTGAAATCAGTCAACTTGCAGAAACATACCAAAGTTAGAGTGTCTAAAATTTCCAGATCTGGCTGAGAACTCATTGGCAAAGATAAGGAAAATCAGTGGAAATGTAAGTACTAGTTCTTCCCAAGGTACACCTTGGTGCTTTTCATATTGTAATTTATCCTCTCCCTGACACAAACTTGCAAAGTGAGCAAAATTTTATTTCGTTTTAAAAACATTTACAGAACTGTTTCTCTGAATAGACATCATAAAAACAATCCAAGTATCATTCATTACCTGACTTGCTAAGCAGATTCCCTCACTACTCTCTCACCAAAAAATAAAATAAATAAATAAATAAATAAATAAATAAATAAATGAATAAATAAATAAATAAATAGATAAATAAAAAATAAAAAAAAATTTTCACTGCCTGAAAAATCTTGTTACTGGGTCTATTTCCAATTAAAAAAAAAAGAAGAAGAAGAAGAAAACAAAAAACTGCCAAAAAGCGAAAACAACACAAGCTCCATCTAGTGGTCACAGTGAGTAGGTGCTCTTTAAATTGGGATGAAGTGAAACAGTGTTGATTACCACTATCTAGTGGTGAAGTTGTATAAAAAAAGAACTTTACATTGCCATCCAGTGGGCAAAATGAGAAAATGCTAGGCGTGTTCACAGAATCCTAGAATTTAGGTTTAGAAGAGATTTTGGAAGTTGTTATCCAGTCATTCATTCTGGAATACTTCACACAGGATTTCCTAAAATACCACGAACTAGATGATTTTAAAATACCTTGAATTAAAAACTTCAAATTCTCTTTTGAATTGCTATATACTTAAGATCTGTTAGAAACACATATTTACCTAAAAAAGAGAAACACTTATTTACCTAAAATATTTTACTCTGATATATTCATATAAAATATATTCACCTACTATATATAGGTATTAGTTACATAGCATATATTTACAATATATATTTACTTAAATAAATTTAGTCTCATCTTGAAATTAATGAATATCCAAATAGTTAAGTTATACATGTGAATATAATATAGATATAAATGGATAGATAAAATAGATTAGTATCTCTATATAAATAGATGAAAAGGTAGATATGCAAATCTAGAAAACCGAATTGATTCCTTGGATGTTACTATTTAGAGTGAAACTGATTTTAACTAAAAATATGAATTTACTAAAAATATATATCAAGTCAGTAATAGTAGAGATTTTACAAGAATATAATGGCATGGACACTCCAGTATAAAAAAAAAAATCCAAGTATCTCATGAGACAATCTTGCTCAATCATTGGTTTATCCTGATATTTTCTTTTCTTTTTCCCCTTAAGGTCTGTCTTCCTATAGTTTTGTGACATAGTTCATTGGCTCACAGAACCAAAAGAACAGAGTCCCCAGTAATCACAACAGTGTCTGGCACATAATACTTTCTTAATAGATAAATGTTGAATGAGTGAATTAATCAAGAATTAAATATTACATGCTTATTGTGTAATAGAGAAACCACAAGAAGATTCAACAACTTATTTAAGTTCATACAAATCCTAAGTGGAACTAAAAATATGTATACGCTGGTCAGTTCCCAAACATTTATGAAGTGCCAACAACATCGATGACGTGCCAAGCACAGTGCTGAGGGTGGAGATATAAATTGAAAAATGGCAATTAGCACAGAGTCTCTGTTCTAAAGGAGAACACTGGCCTTTGACCATTGTTTACACACAGGGCACATTAATCTTGCTGTTTAGAGGAGAAGGTCTTACAACATGTCACAGTCAGGTAAAGAAATAGGTAAAGATATGGGAAGGTCGAAGCATAGATCACTCACCTCTAAACTAGCCTGTAAGGAACAGACCAATAAAATGGGAGGATTTGAAATTCGAAATCCACTGACTCCAGGGCTTAATTGCAGTTCTGAAAAATGAACATCATGTCATTTTTATAAAACATACCTTAAAAAGAATCCCTTATGGATTTTTTTTATGACAGTAAAGTAGTAGAGAGAAAAAGAGTAAGATTTAAGAACTTTCATTCCTAAGCTTTCTGAGATATTTAAGAGAAATTGCATGTACCTAAAATACTGGCATATTTCCCTTTCATCTACAATGTCTGTCTCCCCTGCCCCCCCTTTGTTAGCCCCCTACCAAACTCTAGAGCCCTCAGACACGTAAAAATGGCCTCTTAGAGATTTCTGGACCTCATTCTCTGTTCTCCCACTCCCAAAACAGCATTCCTTAGCCTGCTCCATGCTTCGCTTTTCTAGTATGAAACCACATCGATGAAAGAAAAACATCAAGATTTTAATGGCTTATAATTGTAATGTTATCCAAAGGCAGAAATAAGAATGAGATGACCTGTGAAGGTGACTTTTAGCACTAGGATTATTAGGGCAAGTGGCTTCTCATAGGGGGAAAGAAGAGGCTTTTTAAAAAATGATCTGGGTATGCCTGGGTGGTTCAGTGGGTTGTGTCTGTCCTCTGTTCAGGTCCTGATCCCAGGGTCCTGGGATCAAGTCTCACATTGGGCTCCTTGCTTAGCGGGAAGCCCTCCCTTTGCCTGCTGCTCCCGCTGATTGTGCTCTCTCTCTGATAAGTAAATAAAATCTTTAAAAAATAAAATTAAATAATGATCTGCCTAAGAATGACATATTTAAGAGATAAATTAATAGCAAATCTTATCCGGGACACCTAGGTAACTCAGCAGTTGAGCATCTGCCTTCATATGCAGGGCATGACCCTGGGGACCTGGGATAGAGTCCTGTGTCAGGCTCCCATGGGGAGCCTGCTTCTCCCTCTGCCTGTGTCTCTGCCTCTCTTTCAGTGTCTCTCATTAATAAATAAATAAAATCTTTTTAAAAGTATCAGATCTTACCCTACTTAGAATCAATTAGATTGAATAGTAGCAAGTCAAATCCAATAGAGAAGATCGCAGGTTGGAGATTGAATTAAAGCTAAACCCGACTAAAAGAGCATCAGAATATTCCCCATCTCTAGAGATGCATCTAACCCAGGTCTCAAAAAATAATGTCCTAGGGACTAAATCTGGCCCCCAACTTGCTTTTGTAAATAAAGTTTCATTGGAACATAGACACAATCACTCATCTGTCTATGATTGCTTTAGCACTCCAACGGCGGAATTGAATATTTGCCACAGAGAATATAGTCCCAAAAGGTTAAAATATCTCATCTCTGGTCCTTCACAGAGAAACTCTGCCCACTTCTGATCTAGTCCAATTCTTTCATTTACAGATAAGAAAACCCATCACAAAAAAAAAAAATTAAGTAACTGGCATAATAACGGAGCTAATTATTCCAGCCGCCAAGATAAAATACAGATTTCTTAATTTGACTGGAACAGCCCATCTTGATCATTTGCATCTTGGTTTTTGCAAATGTAAATTTATTTAAAATAGCAACTCAGGTTGGTAGCAGTCTGAAGGATCAAGCTGAACTGAAACTCTCAAAAAATGTATGAAGCTTTCTATATTCCATGTGATTGAAGAATAGAATCACTCAAGAAAAAGAAACAGGACAGTTTGGGAGTATTTTGCACAGGTTGCACTCTCATTTCTACCTGCTGGGGTTCAACTTCTATTGTTTTGTGTGTGGCAAAAGCCACAAAAGGAAAAACTGAAAAAAGAGAGATAAAAACGAACATTTATAAAATAGCACTGCTGTGTGCTACTAGTTTACAGCTTTGAACTTCTCACTCTCAAATCAAACCCTGACATAGATTTTATTATTCACATTAGATATGCAAGAAGGAAAACAAAACAGAAAACAAACAAACAAAAAAAACACAAGATGATATAATTTGTGCAGCATCACAAAACTATTAAACAGCAAAGTGGAATTGACACCGAAGTCTCTTTGGGTCTAACTACAAGCCAGAAATATCTTTCTGTCCTCACTGCCTGATGTTTTGGGTACTCAATATTGATGGGATCTGAGTCCTGTACATTACATTTCACTTCCACTTATCTCCCTACAAAGGGATAGACTCAAATTCATGCTAAAATCTACAAACACTTAGTCTTACACTCTGGAAATGTCATTTCTTATTTTAAGAATTCTCAGTGGCATTTTCAAAGTGCACTCTCCATGAGGCATGTATATTACATATCATACAGAGACAGATGAAAATTGAAATAAAGGAAGAATAAAATGACTTGGGAAGGGAAATTGAATACACTTACTGTTATCCATCTTAAATCGGCTGCTGAGTTCATGGCCAAACCACCCTACTAACCTAAAACATAAATAAAGACATTAGATATTTTGACCACAAAAGTAACTGCAATTAATATAGAGATCTGAGGCTTATATATCAAAACCATTTGTGATGTGCGTTATTAAATATCTAAGCATATATGTTATATAATAAGGCAATTCATATTTATAACCTTATCAAGAATGAAGATTAAAAAATCAATTTATTCATATTGTTTTTTGTGATGTTAAATCATATATATTCAAGAATCTTTTACCTTATTTAAAATAAAATGAACAAAAATATTGAGGTTTTTTTTTTTAGATTTAAAACAAAGGTATAAGCTCAAAAAGAAAAAGCAATTAATGCAATAATATACTTTTCACAATAGGCTCCCCTAATGAGAAAGTGTTAGAATAACCTATATAATTGTTGAAAATTTTGAATAATTTCCAAATGGAATTGATTATTTTCATACTTTAGTGAGATTAATACATAAATAGGAAGTCATAAATGTATGTATGCATGTGCATATTAGAGGAAAAGAATTATAAAATAAAGAAAAAAATTTGAGAAATAGGAATTCAATATTCCTGATAATATGTTATTCCTAAATAAATTTTTAGTTTCAATGCTGCCAAAATATAACATTCCAAGGCACTTCATTAGAACTGGGCAAAATAGTCTTTAGTTTACACAGAATATATGAGTGAAAATAATAAATTTTGAAATAGAAGGTTATAACGATGAGTATGCTGTATCTTACAGTTCAACATGTTATAAAATTAATGAAATGAATATGCGTAAGACTGATGAATGAAGCATCAGGGGGACAAATGGAACAGAAAATATAAAAACAAGGGTGCCTGGGTGACTCAATCAGTGACTCGCAGTTTCAGCTCAGGTCAAGATCTCAGGATCTCAGGATGATGAGATCAAGCCCCAGTTGGGCTTTAAGCTCAATGTGGAATTGGCTTGAGCTTCTCTGCCTTTCCTTCTCCCTCTGCCACTCTCCCTGCTTGTGGGCATGCTCTCCCTCTCTTAAATAAATATATAAACAAATAAATAAAAATTTTTAAAAAATAAAAATAGTCCTCAGATCATGTAACAATTTAATGTGATAATTGTCACATTTTGAAAACTCAAAGATAAAAGATACACATATATTTAAGGTTTTGGAAAGAAAAAAAATCCTTTGTTTTTAAGATTTTACTATTCATGAGAGACAGAGAGAGAGAGGCAGAGACAGAGCAGGCTCCATACAGGGAGCCCCATGTGGGACTCCATCCAGAGACTCCAGGATTGCACCCTGAGTTAAAAGCAGACACTCAATCGCTGAGCAACCCAGGTGTCCCAGAAAGAAAAAATTCTGACTATAAAAATGAAAGGAAATACAGAAGCAAATATCAATAGATCCATAAACATTTAAAATTCTGTATTAAAAAGACAGATAAAATGAAAAAGCAAACCAATGATGGGGTGAAGGCTGTTACTTGCCACCTATGAGTTTTCATCATGTTTTTTCACCAGAGAAAGGATAATGCCCCTGAAGCTTCCCAGCCATCAAGCATGGACATGGGCATCATTATAAAAGGATAAATGAAAATGTCCCACAAATTCAGGAGGAAGAAAATACATGGGATTCCAAGCAAAAATGGTGAGGACAGAATAAAGAAAAAAAAATAGATATGTTTCAAATTTGGCAAATGCAATCACTCAATGAAGAAATATCTATATACTATCCTCCCACCATGGGAAGGAAACATACTGCATGAATATTATGTGTAGCTAAGTCAAATAGTATAAAGATTACTAGTGTTGATAAAGCAAGAGATCAGCTAATATTAGTCATGAATTCTTTTTCTTTTTTGTTAAAACAAAATTTTAAATTCTAATAAGTTAACATACAGTGTAAAATTGGTTTCAAATTTAGTGATGATTCATCACTTATATATAACACCCAATGCTCATCATAACAAGTGCCTTCCTTGATATTCATCATCCATTTAATCCATCCCCCACCCACTTCCCCTTCTGCAGCCCTCAGTTTGTTCTCTTACTGTTAAGAGTCCCTTATGGTTTGCTTCCCTTTTCCTTCCTATATGTTCATCTATTTTGCTTCTTAAGTTCCACATGAGTGAAATTATATGGTATTTGTCTCTGACTGACTTATTTTGCTTAGCATAATGCACTCTAGTTCCATGTACGTTGTTGCAAATGGCAAGACATTCTTTTTGAAGGTTGAGTAGTATTCCATTATATGTAGATATCTATATCTGTGTGTGTGTGTGTGTGTGTGTGTATCTTTATCCAGTCATCAGTCAATAGACATGTGGGCTCTTCCCATAGTTTGGCTATTGTTGGCAATGCTGCTATAAACATCAGGGTGCATTTGCCTCTTTGATCCCATTAATTCTTCATGAAAATATACCTGAAGGTAAAGTTAAATCAACCAAGAGATGCCTGAGGACATTATGACAGAAAGATATATGGTGACTATTGAATATATTTCATTATAGGACCAGGATTAAACAAATGTAGGGATGAAGGTGACAGAACAAAATGAAAGAGAATGCTTTATGACAGTGTGAAAATGCATAACTGGCAAAATGGAGAGAAATGAAATAATTTCATTGAGTGTATTTAAACTTGATGAATCAAGTAACAAAATATAATCAGATCTAAGATTATGCACTAAACACCAAGAATGTCAAAATTGACTAAGTCACAGGGTGAAGGGAATTTGGTCAGAAGGGAAAGGACACCTGCTAAATCTTCCATTGCTCATGAAAGGAAACTAATAGAAGAAAATAAGAAAGATTAAAATTCTAAATTAAATTATGAAATATCAGAACTATTTACTGATAATGAACAAAAAAGCAAAACATATCTAGTGTTGAAAGACTAAAAAGATCTAGAAACAGAAAATATGACACTGAATGGCATTGAATTAAGACCAGAAGTAGCAAGGCAATAAAATTTAATGGGTTTAATTCAAATACTGAAAGACAAAGTGATCAGATTGTACAATAAATCAAAGAGAATCAGTTAAAATGAGTGTTTCAGAAAGAAACAGACAAAACAGTTATTAATTTCTAGACATCACAAAACAGGACAGCAATATTTATAAAGCAGATGTTACAGAAGTAGAAATATCCTGTGGTTTCAGAATAGTTTCAGTGACCTCATTGAGTCTATGATGGATCAAATAAACAAAATACTAATTAAGAGGTAAATCTAAGTGACAATTGTTTAATGCTTTGTTCCTAAATAAAGAGTATAGGTTCTTTAGAAGTGCTCATAAAATACTGACTAAAATTAACTACAAAATAATGTGATATTTCCAGTCAATATATTGTTGTGTCTTCTGATTACAATCCAATAAAATAAGCAACTAATAAGAAACTAAAAACAAAACAAAACAAGAGAACTCAATTACTTGGGAAGTTGAAATAAAATTTATTTCAAATTACTTTTCTGATCAAGTTGAAATAGTAGATTTTCTTTAAAAAATAATGAAACACTATAGTTCAATATCTTTGGGATATTGCTAGAATAGTGCACAGAGAAATATTTCTAGCTTTAGATATCAGATCAATAGAAACATTTTTTAAAGAAAAGGAAGTAAATCAATAATAAGAACAAAAAAGTCACAGAGAACAAGAAAATAAACTGAAATAAAGTTGTAATATACATTAATAAAGATAAAAGCTAGAATTAATGGTTAGAAAGCATAAAATAAGTTACAATGATATATAAATTAAAAAATCAATTTTGGTGAGAGTGAGAGATATCAATGAATTGAGAAAACACAAAACAAGTGTAGCTATAAAAAAATAAAACAAAAAAAAATAAAACAACTTGGGGAGGAATAATCACAAAATAGAAAAAAATAAGATCATCATAAGACAAATTACTAAAATTAGTTTGTTTTTTAAGATTGATTGATTGATTTGAGAGAGTAACACATAGAGGGAGAGACAGAGAAAAGAGAGCAAAGCAGGGGGAAGGGCAGAGGGAGAAGCAGGCTCCCCACTGAGGCTCCCTACTAGGACTCCAGGATCAAGACCTGAACCCAAGGCAGACACTTAAGGGACTGAGCCACCCAGGCACCTCTAAAATCAATTTTAAAACTTACATCAAAATGTATAATTTTCTAGGACAATTTATAATCCAAAGAAATTCCAGAAAAGAGAAAGAATCAAAACCTGTAGATTTTAATAGAAGAAATAAACATCTCAAATACCTAAAGCTCCTAAAAGAAGGTGATAGCATAGAGAAATTCTGCAACACTTTTCAGAGTAGATAACTCCAAGGCTATTTAAACTATTCAGGAACATAAAAAAAAAAAAAACAAAACTAACAACAACAACAAAAAGGAGTATGGGAAAACTTCACACTTTTTGGGGAACAAATATAACTAATATCAAACCAGATTAGAATTGCACACATCTGACTTAAGAATATTATTGACTTAAAAATATTTCAAAAATCATAAAGAGATTCAAATACCACATAAAAATATGTTATGAACAGTCTAGTTCATTTAAGAAATGCAAAAATGGCTTTATATTAGCAAATTTATTATATACAATTTATTCTATTAATAAAGCTAAAAAACAATCATAGGATGATCTCTATAGACCCTATAAAAACATTTTCAACATTCTGCAACTGTTGTTAATTAAAGAAAATCAAAATGAAGCAAAATAGTAATAAGAAGATACTTATTGCAATGGAATATATCTTTGTCATCCTAAGAGTCAAATTTGCACTTAATGGAAAACACTAAACATGACTGCAATTAATACTAAGACTTCACAGCTATACAAATTGAAAATGAGGAAGTATCACTACTTTAAAATTATAGATTTTATGCCGGTATGAACAAAAAGATTATTAAGCATGGTAGTCTGGCACAAAGTTAATATGAGAAATAAATATCTAAAATTTTAAACAAATGAATATAGCACCAAGAAATGTTCTAGACCTACGTAAAGTAAATTTTTAAAACACTCTTGAATCTGAACAAAAAGATT